TCCCGTGAGTGGCTTGTATCTTCGTGCAGTTTTCTAAGCCTAAGCTTTGCCGCCCCGCCGCTAGATGGCAGACGGTGCAAGGACTCACAATAGTTGCAAGAAATGGTACTTGCAGTTGCAGATTATTTCGCTGCAATTTGGACTTTAACCATTCAGTTTGCATTTTCTGCATTTCGTAAGAGTTTGTCAAGTCAGTTCTTTGTGCAGTTTCGACTATTTATTCACTTTTCCATTTGTTTGTAGATTTTCTTAGCTATAGTCCTAGGATTTCAACTCATGATGGCACTTCTCTGTCTTAAATCTGTATAGACGGAAGCGCAACTTAAGAACATTTTGAAGTATGTATATGTTATATTTATCATTCCTTTTAACTTGTAACTGGCATAAATTCAGAAGAAGGTTATTGTCATAATCTAATTCAGTTTTCTCTCGTTTATCTTATTTCTTCTAGTGTCATAACTCCTTTCTCAATGTTTATATTGAAATATCCATTTGTTATTGTTGATTTGTCGTAATAAGAATGATTTAACTTACTATCGTTTGTTGTTCTTCTTCGTTTGCAATTATTAAATCACAGGATCATGCAATGACGTTTTCCTCAAATAGTGTTTATCTATGCATGTTTCGTGTCCAGAATGAGTTGATCAGTCACGGAGTCGATGTAGTGAAATCAGGGTTCGTCTCCGTAGATTTAAATCGATTCAGGGACTAAAACATTTATTTTATTAACTTTTAACGTAAGATGTATTTTCCGGTATTTTTCCTAGACGACCTTCATATCCTTCCTGCCACTTTTCATTTTCAGACCACTTCTGTACATCTATTTCTGTAAATACGTTAGGCTACTTACATATTTACATGAGGGTCGCCTGTTGGTACTTCTCTCTCTCCCCTCGCCTTGTCTCTTTGCTCACCCGCCTCCCGTAAACAATTCGACAAGACTTTGCATTCACGGGATCTTAATATCTACTGTAATTAATGCTCGTAAATTATCACAAAAGCCATTGTCTATCTACCTGTCTATCTGTCTATCTATATATCTATCTGTCTGTCTCTCTATCTCTCTGTCTATACCTCTCTCGGGCTCTCTATCGCCTTTAATTTGTATCATTAGTATTCCATCAACCTTAGAATACATAATCAGTCATGCTGTTATTAAGGCAGACTGCAGCTCGCGAACGTAGTGTCGTCGGCGCCGTCGGTGATGACCCAGAAAGGCGTGAATGGCACAATATAAAGGGAAGGAAAGGGCACTGAAATGGCTAAAGATGGCACGAAAAAAGGAGCTGTAGCGGGCGTTGAGAGAGAAGGACGTGAGGCGAGGAAATATTAATTGAGATTGGGGGATGTCACTTTTTATATCTCTGGTGGATGATAACTTTTCAGTCATTTCTTCTTTACAATTTCATCAAAACTGCTAAGAGATTATAGGGCTTGGAAAGCCTAAAAAAGCACCAATATTGCGGCCAGGTTCGCGTCTCCTTATATCTCCTTAAATGCCTCTCCGTCTCTGAAATGACAAGCTACCTCATCGCTCACAACACCCGAACGTTTTATCCTGCTTCATCGCGCGCGCCTCTCCCATCTTCATCCCATCTCCTCACACACTTCTATCTCCTCATGTAACACCCCATCCGAGGAAGCCCTCCGGTCCTAGCTCACACGGCCTGCTCCCCTCCCCCCTCCCCCAGCCCCGCCCCTCGTCCTGCCCGGGCATGGCCTACTCGGTCATTTCCAGGCTTGCCAACTTAATCACGGCGGGAAATGAATGTCCCGAGGGAGGAAGGCCGGCCGGGGCGCGTGGCGTTATGGGTGATTCTCCGATCTCTTAGTATAGGAACTTCGTCATTCGGAATAGCTAGGGCTTGCCGCTGAAAGGTTCGTGTGTCTTAACGGCTAACATTTTCTCTCCTTCCTCTTCCCTTCCCCCCCCTATTTTCTCATCCTTACGTTCCCTAAAGTGGCCATTGCAATTTCCTAGTCAGCGAAAGGTTCTAAGTTACGTGGCCACTTTTTGGCATATTTGGCGGGCTGTGGCGTAGGAACAGATCGTGTGGCAGAAGCGCGAGTGTTTTTCTTTGATTCTGGGATTCTGGACTGCGTCGTGTCCATTACTTTCTGATTCGATCATAGCGGCGGCGGGGTCTTGCGCCCTCCCTCGCTTACTCGTTTGTTTTAGGGAATGTGATTATCGTCTGTTCTTTTCTTCTTCCTCTTCTTCTTCTTTGTGTGTGTGTACTTGTGTGTGTGTGTGTATTTGTGCGTGTGTGTGTGCGTGCGTGTGTGTGTGTGTGTGTGTGTGTGTGTGTGTGTGTGTGTGTGTGTGTGTGTGTGTGTGTGTGTGTGTGTGTGTGTGTGTGTGTGTTTGTAGAACAGAATGTGTTCAGACAAAGGGAAGAGGCAAACTTAGACATACAAAAACAGCAAACAAATAGAAAGAAAAGAAGAAAGAAAGACAAATAGACCAACATACAGAGACAGATAGATAGACTGAAAGAACCTCAGAGAAAAAATCAGACTGACAAACAAACAAAACACCTAGAAATATAAACCCAGAAAGAGAGAGCGAGAGCGCGCGGTCGTTTATATTTTTAAGTAGTAATTTCCCTCCCTGCTAAAAAGCACGAGATATGAATAGCCCGGAAGACCTTTTTTTTAAACAAGCCTTCAGTTAATTCCAGTTAAGCCAAGACCGGAACACCACTTCCTCGACGACTTAAAAATGTCGCTCTTAACAATGCGTAAGTAAAGCAAGCGGAAAAAGATTTACGTCTCTTTACATAATACATGTTTTTTTCTATTAGTTTTCCTCTTCTTCTTTGTTCTTCAAAGATGGTTCTCCTTTTCTTACTTTACTATCACCATTATTATCACCATTGCCATCATTATCATTATCGAATAACCATCACCACCACTAAAACAATCATCCTCATATTTCTCTCCTTTCTTTCCACGCCTCTCTCGCTTTTCCATTATTCTATTCTATTCTGTTCATCGCTCACCATCCCCATTCTCATTCCTACACCACACATTCCTCGTTCCCTTCGCCCCCTATCTTCACCCTTCCACCCTCTCCCCTACCCCTTATCGTCACCCGCTTTCGCAGCTCTCATTTCCTCCTCCTTCTCCCCTTCCCTCACCTATCATCTCTCTACATTTCCCCCCTCCTTTCCGTCGTCCCCCTATCCCCTCCCTGCCACGAAAACGGGTTGTAGTCTTCGGCAGACGTTGCTCGCCGTCATAGGTCTTGTCTCGTGAGTTTGTTTACATCAGTGATTCACAAACTTTCCAGGCTGGCGCTCCCTTGGTTTCCAGGTAAATTCCTAGCGTCCCACACATGCAAACGCACTTTTACTTACGTATTGGCAGCGTCCAGCATTAAATTTAATTCTCCTCCGGACCAGACTTTCCTTTTAAGCCCAACGATTAATCCTGCACATGCGCAGAACGAGCTAGTTAATCCTACCAATCATGTATCGATACGTCATGACAACGTCATCAACTCCATAGAAAAGAGTGGAGTTACCATTTTGATTTATGATAAGCAATAACGAAACAAATTCTGACATTTTCATGTCACAGACGTATGTGAAAATTCATCAATATATGTTTTTATAAGTTGTGGGATTTGCAAACTGCAAATATAACTCTCAACATTGAAAAGAAAAACGAAAAGAAAATCCCATATAGAATTCCAGAGTTTACAGAAAAAGACAAGGCAATGTTATTTCCAGATTGGAAAAAAAACATTTCCAACTTATGCAATATGTTAATCGAATAAAAGAGAAACTTTTGATAACATCGCAATTAGGTTTCAAATCCAAAATAAAAACTAAGATTCTTTAAACTAAAGTGACATCAAAATCACATAGACATTTGTTATCATGATCCTCGCTAGCAACAACCTGAAAAAACTACCCTACCCGTGCCACACGATCACGCACGAGAAAGAGCTCTCGGAGAAAACCCCCCCGAATATAAATTGACAATATGAGTATCTCATGTTTGTTTAACACCTTCATTTCTTTATGAAGCGTACAGAAGACGCCTATAGTACACCAATTAATTCAGCAGTTTTAGCTGTCGCCCCCTCTACCGCCCCCTTTAACCTTACCCCCCCCCCTCCAGATCCTCCCACCGCCCCGAGGAGGCCGATACTGCCCACTTTGGGAACTAGTGGTTTACATGATCCAATAGTTTCTATGGCGTCGTCTTTGAGGGGGGGGGGGGGTGAGGGAGGATGGAGTGAAGAGAAAGTGGGGAGAGGGAAAACAACGTCCAGTCATATTTTTGTGTAGTTTACTATCATTATCGTTATCACTGTTATTCTGATTACTGTTATTATTATTATTATTATTTCTATCATTATTATTACTGTCGTTACTATTATTATTATTATTATTATTATTATCATCATCATTTTCATTCTTATAATTATTATTATTATAATCATTATCATTATTATTATCATTAATATTATTATCATCTATATTATCATTCTTATAATCATTATTATCATAATCATTATCATTATCATTCATATAATCATTATTATCATAATCATTATCATTATTATTATTATTATTATCATTAGTATTATTATCATCTTTATTATCATTAGTATTTTTATCATCTTTATTATCATTAGTATTATTATTGTTATTGTTGTTGTTACTGCTTCAATTATTAATTATATTGTCGTTATTATTGTTGTTATGATAATTATTTTTCGTACTTTAAGAAAGTACAAAATCACCACTATTTCTTTTCTTTCTCTCTATTTTTTCACCTCCTTCTTCTTCGCTCCATCTTTCCTCTTCCCCTTTTCCAATACTTTCTGTTCCTTCTCCTCTCTTACTTTTCCTTCTCCTCCTCCTCTTCGTCATTCTCTTCCTCCCCCTCCTCCTCCTCCTTCTTCCTCGTCCTCTCCGCGTGACCGACGCCTGATGCATTCATCTAGCCTCTCATCTCACACTAGCGCCCCCTTCGCCCGCAGGTCG